TATGCTCCGTACCTGATCTCCACTCAGGAGAAAGGCTATAGTAATTCAAAGTAAATGTCTCTCAATCGGAGCACTCAAATCCTCAAATATATGAAGTTTAGCGAATCCCTTGCCTTTGAATGGGATCTAATTGAACACTGAAATCAACTGATGTCTTCATATTGTCACACCCATCGTGCATCACCAGTCATCATTGATAATTATCAACACATTACATCTATTTTTTATATAGAATAGTAATGACGTTTGAATTTGAATTTGGACAAAAGAACGACGCGCCCGAGGGGATTCCTAGCGCCAGTCAGTGCTTTGCCTTCTCAAGCCACTCTCGTTGTAATCATTCGTCCCGTAGGTGTAGAATGACTTGTTGAAATGGGTGGGTAAAAAAATCCCATGTTTCATCCGAACGTGTTCTAATGACGCCTTAAACCTCATACCAAGCCCGATTATCGCAACTGCATCGAGAGGACAGGATGACCTGAACACTTTTACTACATTGATATAATGTGAATTTTACTTAGGTGAGAGGGAAGGCAGTGCTGCAGAGTTTCAGCAACAATATATGTTTAGGATTGCCAAGCTTGTCCTTCTCACACCTACTTCTTTGGAGTTGCCCAGACTCATTTCGATTGCATGATTTGCAGAGGTTGCCCTTGAAACAGAGCTTCAATCGCAAAGTTTTACAAAGTTGCCACCCACACAAACGATGACTAACGCTCATGCCCCCAGTTAGCATGAGCTAGCCCTCCTGCTTACATACTACTCTTTATTGCCTAAGACGATGGGAGTTGAGGGTGTGTCTCCCTAACCTCATTTTGCCTCTACTTAGGCCGAAAAGGCTGTTCGGCACAAATTTTGAATATTTTATGGGCGTCTTTTTTGGATTACGCAATTCGTGATGCCATAGCAACTGCATCACCACACAAGATCATGAGTAAGATCTTCTTCGTAAAGGCAGAGGAATTCGAAAAGAAATTATTTACAAGGCGTGACTTGTGATATTGTGATCAGAAACGACAAATTCACAAAACACAACATAAACAATAAACACAACAAGTTCTTAGCATTCGAATAATAATGGATGGTGTAGGGCGAGAGATCATGTGCATCCTGGAGAAACATCGTCTTATGGAGGCTTCGCCATTTCAGTGTAGGTAATCGCACAGTACTTCACTCTGTCAGATGAAAGTGTTTTTGTTTACGTGCGAACAACAAACAAAGGTGAATGAGAAGCTGAGTTCGGTTGGCTTCATCTATATACAGCGAATGAAGCGGAACAAGTCTTCGATGAGATCGATTGCGAACATTTACAACCCGATAACAATTATGAATATTTGAACATAACTGACACTGAAAAATGAGATCGCGGTCTGCTCTGCGAAAACCAAACTCTTCAGTTAGCTCGACCATTGCAGCAGAGTTTGATGACCCATGGGACGGATCACTCCACCTGGGTGATGCAACTGCTTTGTCGTGCAACACTCTCGCGATAAACCAAAGTATTCATTCGCATTGCCTGCCACCTTGCCGAATTTCCACATGAGATTCCCGAGTACTTCTTCAAGTGCTTCTCGCATCCACACTGGAAACAATTACTTTTCACATGTTGGTGTGGGGACAAGTAACCTTTCCGTTTCTTTTTGGTTTCAAAGCACAAATGCACAATTAAGCATTTGAAAAAAAGATAAGAAAGCATCTCGGATCATCTATTGATGCGCTCTGCATAATGAAGGATTCCCTGCTATTACGGGCTACACGTTGTTGATGAAGCAAAAGTTGGCGATTCATACTCCTCCCTCTTTTACGATGTACTGAACTTCGAAGAAAGATCTTTTACCCACTGAATGTCTTCACTTCGAGATATGGAAACCAATTCTGGTGATCGACACGATCGAATAATCCGTAACACGCTGAATAAGATTCCCGATCTGTTTTTTTTTCCAGCAGCCACCTCTTCAACGGGACAGTTTCAAAGAGGCTAGTGCATGGAGGCAAAGGTTATGAGGTGGTGACCCTACAGAATATCAAAAGAATACATCGGCTCGTTACCTAAAGAGGCAGTGTGAATGAATGCACATAGAAGCGGAAGAAGCGAGCAGAGAAGCAGGGATATGATTTCCTGGATTCCCAAAACTTGTAAATAGAGTCTGAGGGGGCTTCGATAGTGGATCGAATGATCACACCCTATTTTGACTATAGTCGAGCAACCTTCATCCGTCTTCTTACGCTTATCATGAATCCCATGTTGCAGCTCATCACCGAAATCTCAATTCTTCAAGCTGTACTCGGTTTAGTTTTGCATTATTGACGCGACCATTCCCATTGGATTACCATCAACATGAGCTGCTCTATTTCTGATGATTCTGTTCAGCTGAAGAATTCGTTTCGATGCCTCATCATCCTAAAACCCATCCTTGATTCATTCCAAACTTTACTGTCATTATTTTTCTCCTGGAGAAGTCGTTTTGAGGAAATCACATTTGAATTTCTTACGCTTTACTGTGGGTCGAAAAGAAGTCCCTCGTGTGTTACTCTGTTCTAACTCTATTAGTCTTCTATTCTATGCTCTATTGATTTTTGTCTCTTTCTCTTTCTTTCTATTAGCCATATCGTAAGTTTTTAATTATGTGAATTACGGGTTCGGTGTGGGACCGTGCTACTGTGGTCCCTTGTTGGAATAGTGCTACACAGACTACGCACGCTAACTCGTGTATCTCAGCAAGGAACGCTTCAAACAGACCTATGGTATTTTTCAGCCCTTTTTGCCCCTCAATAATGTGGCTCATTGGCTGTGTTGGGAGCGAACCATGAGTTAATATGGAAATTACAACTCAATGCGAGAACACTGCGCAAATTGAGAGTACGTCTACCTTCCATTTGTTGATTCCTCCCTTCTGTTGATTGTCTCTGGTGTCTGGGTAGTTTTGAATTCAAATTAGGTGTTTCTTCGTTTTGCACCGCCCATTGCTGTGCATGCTCGCTCTCTACTGAAGGCGAAATGATACTTGGTCGCAGTAGCCATTCAAGGTGCGGTTTATGCTGCCAAAAATGTTTTAGAACGCTGTTCTCAAAACTACACTCTTATAAACTATACTCGGAACAAACGGAACCGCTTTTCCTTCGTGTTGTAGCACCGTTCCCTACAGATGACCAAACCGAACAGTTTCGTCGTTGTGGAACGGTAGCTTAGTTGGTAGGAGGTGGAGTTACAGGCAGACCATTCAAACTCCTGATGCATGTGCTCGT